GCTGTCTGTACATGCAGTGCGGGTCGCGCTCCCTTTTCTTTCATAACCAGCTCGTTTCCAATTGGGGGAGGGGGGAAGAAATTAACTTTTTCCGTCCCTCTCCATGGATCCCCACCCCAATTGGAAACGAGCTGGTTATGAAAGACAAGGGAGCACAACCCGCATGGCTTGTTCAAACAGCAAAAGAAGGAACAGGAGAGGAATTCCAAGCGGGGCTTTTCAAACAGCCAAACTCCTCTCCTGTCCTTTCTTTTGCTGTTTGAACAAGCCATGCGGGTTGTGCTCCCTTGTCTTTCATAACCAGCTCGTTTCCAATTGGGGGAGGGGGGAAGAAATTAACTTTTTCCGTCCCTCTCCATGGATCCCCACTCCAACTGGAAATGAGCTGGTATGAAAGACAAGGGAGCACAACCCGCATGGCTTGTTCAAACAGCAAAAGAAAGGACAGGAGAGGAGTTTGGCTGTTTGAAAAGCCCCGCTTGGAATTCCTCTCCTGTTCCTTCTTTTGCTGTTTCTACATGCCGAGCGAGTCACACTACCTTGTTGGCAAGGGTGCTTGGCAGCGACAGGGGCCAGGAGCGGTACCGGCGTTCCCGGAAGTTAATTACTTCCGGGTTAACCACCATCCAGTCCGCGCGAATTGGGGCGATCCGGGAGGAACCCACCCCTGCTATGGTGATATGGGGTAAGCTACAAATGTAAAGTTTGAAGATTTGATCAGAGTCAATAGCATATCTAAATAAAATACTTTGGTTAATGCCCAATATTGGCAGAAATTCAAAAATATATGCACTGGAAGAAAATTAATACAAATATTGTTAGATGTTTGCTTAGACTCACCCATCATATTATATAAACTCTGCGGTGCAAACTGTCTTGGCATTTTCTGTATCGCCTCTTTGTAAACTATAAGGGCATCCTATGACAAAGTGTTGAGAAACATATCATTACAACAACATCAAATTCAGAAACATAAGTGTAATATAAAATAAAGTAAAATTGAAGATGCCTTTGTTAATTGTTAACAGGAAATAGGCATTTAATAAAATATATAATGATGAATTTCATGACATCTTCAAATTGGTTTCTGTATAAGCATATGTAAAAAAACTGTAAGTGTCCAAGGTGGTACCAAACTCTGTAGTTTTTGTTGCAGGAGATTAACAAGGATTAATTTCAATCTATATAAAAATATGCAGTTGAGATGAATCTTCTCAAGGTAAAACTGAACAATTTTCAACGTTCAGACTTGTCCATTTAAGGATGGGAAAAGAAAATATCTTAGAATTTCCTAAAACACATTCTGATGTTACTAAACTATAATAATCACAATGATACTTTTCCACCTGCCAATAATAACAGTGTTGCTGCTTTTCATAATGTAATACTGGTGTATTCTAGGTTTAAAGTTTAAAAGCCTTCTAGGTTTAAAAAAACCACATGTGTCATGTCAAACTGTTGTAGTTTTTGATCATTACCTAATCTTAAAATGAAGCTATATATTACTTGAAGCTGTCAAATTGTACACTTTGTCCATATCCCAGAAATACTGTATATAAATTTACACTTATTTCAATTGTATGTTTCTATTGTAAGAATGATGGACTGAGCAATTTGCTTTATACAACTGCCCAGCTCACATAGATGATTCTGGTGAGCTACATGATGTCGGTATATTATACCCTAATTGCAGAGGAACTTTTTTTTGTTTCTCTGGGGGTGGGGTGGGTGGGAAGTACATTAAACCATATCAGGAAGTGCTATTATTTTCATGCTCATACAGTATATCATTTGCAAAAGGATCATTTGTTAATGAATGAATTACTATTGCACCATATACTGTAATATCTATGTTTTTCCAGTAAACTAATTCATAAAATATAGCTGCTACCATCTCACTAGTCTCCCATTCTATCAGTCATCATACTGAGTAATAATCTAGAAAAAGACAAATTGTTAGATTGTAAATGTATTAGCAAAAGCTTGTCAGAACTGATGCTTCCTTTATGGTCTAAAATATAAGATGTAGATACTGTGTTTGCCACTGTCATGCAATCTGTAATACTACCAATAATTCTAGGTACCTTGGTTGCAATCCCAAAATATCTGGAGCGCTACTTGAACAGCATTGACATTGACAAACTCACCATGAATCAATTGCAAAAGGCAGCTTTAATTGGAGCAGCTTACATCCTGAGATGATACCCTACCTATTGCAGGTCCTTGGAAAGGAATTGATAAGAGGATTTTTAATTCGGTCAAATTAAAATTCAGTCTAAATATGTGGCTGACTGTGTGAGGAACCATACTAATTTATCCAATTTATATGCCACTCAACTCCCAAACAGCTAACAGCCAATTCTAGTATTTTAGTGGTTTATTTTAAAAAACAAAAACAAAAAAAACCCTAATTATATTAAGATTATAGATGGCTGCTATGTTGCTGTAAAATTTTACCTCATACTGTCCTTGTTCATGGTAAAGTTTCCCCAGGTTATAAAGGCAGCTGGTAACAGAACTCTTATGAGCATGAGGATCTTTTAAGTTTTCATCAGGAATCTCTGAACACTTCAAAAATGTCTTCTTGGCTTCCTCAGCCTTGCCTTGATTCATTAAGATGATACCAGTATTTAAATAAGCAGCTGAAAAAAGGAAAGGGAAATGTAGCTGTTTCACATTGATACATATTATATTTGAAGTTATTTAAAACCAGAAAAATTAAATAGCTAGGGTGACAGTTTCTTCAAATCTAGATTGGCCCTTCATTTCTTTAAACTTGTTACGATTGAATTATCTTTCATTAAAGTCATAGATTATCCATACTAATTCTACAGCAATACAAGACTTCCTTTATAAGATATTGATGTCTTTAATAACTGCCATAGGAAAGACGATTGCTAATTAAAGAAAAAATGAGCTCCATCACAACAAAACATTAAAACTGGAATTTCATTAGAATTAATTGAAATGTCAAGCAAGGTGATTTCCCCTCTTAATGTTTCTTTAGAACAGTTTTGTCATAATGATAAAAAGAGGTAAAATACCCCAATTCACTACATTTGAGAGTCAGTAGATTCAGTAGAAACAATAAGTGCTGTCCAAGTGAACAAGGTAGTCTTATAGAAATTAAAGCCTTTTGGATCTGGGAAGATGGCAGACTACCTTAAATTGCTTTATTGCCTGAATGTAACATCTTCAGCTTTCTCTTTCTAGAGAAGGAAGTGTTAGACTCTTTCATTGATTTACATTTAAACTTGAACAAGTACCAATTAAAGTTGATTAAGTACTATATTGATGTTTCAGAAGTCACAGGCTTTAATTTTTCAAAGAGAATTTTGAGAGACTCCTCATTCACTCACAGAACTTTCACAAATTAGAAGATTCCATATGCAAGCATATATACAAGTGATTGGCATGATATGTACTGTAGCATGAACATTCTATTTCTCTACACCTATAATCTAATATACACCTATAACCTCGGGACGCGGTGGTTCAGTAGCTAAGATGCTGAGCTTGTTGATCAGAAAGGTCGGCAGTTCGGGGGTTTGAATCTCCAACCCCGCATAATGGAATGAGCTCCCATTACTTGTCTCAGCTTCTGCCAACCTAGCAGTTCAAAAACATGTAAAAATGTAAGTAGAAAAATAGGAACCACCTTTGGTAGGAAGGTAACAGCGTTCCATGTGTCTTTAGCATTTAGTGGCCACATGACCACAGAAAAATGTTCGGACAGCGCTGGCTCTTCAGCTTTGAAATGGAGATGAGCACTGCCCCCTAGAGTCAGGAATGACTAGCACACATGTGCAAGGGGAACCTTTACCTTTATAATCTAATATCCTGATTTAGCTAATATCCTGATTTAGTGACAAAAGGTTGGTAATCAGATGAAGTAAATAACAGACTTGGTAAAGTCTTTAACCAAATTTGTTGAAGCAGCCCAGCAACCCTGAATTGCCTCTTAAACATGTGACCTCTCTATGAAACAGCTCACTTTCCTTCCTGCCATAAATTTGAGCATATTTCAGCTTCTTTCATCTCAAATCAAAATTAAACATGTTACTCTGGCAACACGTTTGCCTAACAATAAAGTAAATAGTATGGATTATATTCAAGATCAACTATCTTACTATACAGCATCTTTACAATACAGTAATGATGGTCCAGTTGTTATCAAATATATTGGAACCATGCAAAAACATCTGCTCACATTTAACAGAATTAAAACTTACAGGTTTTCTTTTTAATAGTTTTATTTATAACACAACACAAATGAGAATGAACAGTGTATTTAAAAAACAAGCATGCAACTTTACTTACAGGCTAAAGTAGGTCTGCTTCCAATAGCCAATTTATAATAATGCAGTGCTTCTGAAAACCTGTTGTTCTCCTGCAATAATAATCCCCTGCGTTTAGCAGAGAAAAGGAGAAGACAAGAAGATAATTGTTGAAAATAAAATTATGAAAAATGAAATATCAAGAAACATATTTACAATGTACTTGAGAAAGAAAGATTGCTATAGATTTTGCCATATGATTTTTTTAAAATAAAAGATCATTTTGAAAGAAAGAAAAATGAGCAAGAATCATTTTTGTTCTCCAAAAGTAGTCAAATTATGCTATTGTAGAATTCTACTTCCTTGAAAAGGATCGAGAAAGGGTTCTTCTTTTGTCAAGTGAAAAAAAGAATTATACAAAGTTCACTATATTTTACTAAAACGGCTGCCTTGTCATTTAGAGAAGAGAAACTGCCACAATATGTATATGATATAGAATGGAATAGTTAAGAATTGTTGTCACCCTTTATGAGCTTGGTGAAAAGGGCAAACATTCTTATAAACACCTAATTTTTCAAAATTATTATTCCAGCTAGAGCTTTGAAATCTATTTAAAAGGTTATAATTCTTGGTATAAAATCTGAAGCTACCAATTTTCAAAATCAAAGTTAATATTAGGAATTAGTAGTAAATATCTACCTTTAAAGTACTATACCAGTGATGGCTAACCTTTTTTTGTTGCCAAAAATGTGAGGGTATGTGCCGGTGGTGGGTTTCAAATCCCATTCCAACCGGTATGGTTGGAACGGGGCTGGCAGCGTCCTCATGGACGTGTGCAGCATGTGCATGCATTTAGCACCTCCGTGACGCTCCATGATGCTCCAGCTACTCTGTGGAGCGTCGCAAAGGCGCTATAAGCACCATGCGCCTGAGCGGACGTGCACAAGCTTTTAAACACCGGTAAGGTGGGTGGGTCCTCCAGAGCACCGTACCGGAACGGTATCTAGTGTTCCGGGCTGGCTCCCGTACGCCTGTACCGGGGCGTACCGCCTGCAACCCACCACTGGTATGTGCATGCCAAAACCCATAATGCAAAGTGTGCCCCCACATGCGCATTCATGCACAATCCTCCCACTACCCCCCCCCACACACTGCACTACTTGCCTCCAAGCTGTTTTTCACCCCTCCCAGACTCCGAAGGCTTTCCTGAAGCCTGGGGAGGGTGAAAACAGCTCCCCCCCCGGGAGGCTCTCCAGAAGCTGGAAATGGATAGTTTCTGAACTTCCAATTGGCCCATTGGGCCCATTTTTCATTCCTCCCAGGTTTCTAAGGCTTTCCTGAAGCCTAGCACGCACATGCAAGCTAGAGCTGATGGCTCGCATGCCTGCAGATATGGCTCCATGTGCCACCTGTGACACGTGTGCCATAGATTTGCCATCATGGTACTATACTAAAGAAAGAGCCAGAATGGTATGAAAAGAAAAGAAAAGAAAGGAAAAGGAGAAAAAGATGTACCCAAAGTATTTCTTTAACAAGGAAAATGTTTACTGATAGAAAGTAAAAATGGTTGACATACTGTTTCTTTGAGCAGTAATTAAAATACATCAAATAGAGGAGGAGCCAATGCTGCGATGATATGGATGTGTGGTCTCGATGCTCCGAGACCCCAGCCAATACGTCCCGCAGAGATGGTGAATAGGAAGAATACGTCTTGCTGACCTCAGGGACATCGCAAACTCCCTGATAGAAGCAAGAGAAGTTCTTCAAGCCGGTGCCAAAAAATCCAGCCAAGGCTGACGAAGTTGGGGCGGTTCCAAAATGGAAGAATATGGAAAAAGAAAGTGTTTCCAGCTGGTGAAGAACTTTTACTGTTTTAAAAAGAGACTGCCTATAAAAAACTTAAAATTAATTCAAATTGGAGAACAGAAGAATTAAGCGCCGGAATTAAATTTGGAATGGTTTTGGACAATGGTTATCTTACTTTTTAAATGCTATCTTCATGAATGGAATTTATGCAATTTATTTTGAAACGGCTGGATTAAGCTTTCTTCTTCTATTTTTTATTTTATTGTTCTCTGTAACCTATGGACTAAAGTTTTCCTCTTTCATTGCTGTGGGTGTTTTTCTAACTCATTTAAAAATTGGACTCTTTTTAACTTGAAATACAAAAAAAATCAAAAGAAAAAATATTTTCAATGGTAACGCTGCTGCTCAGAGGCTGGAAGGTTTGTTTATTGGACTTTGTGTATTGGAATTGGAACATTTTTTTTCTTTGCTGATTGTT